TTGTGATTTTGTGTATTTGTAATTTGTTTATTTTAGAAAATAGAGAAAAACGCTAGAAATATATAAATAAAAAAATTAGGATTTTAGTTTTTTTTTTTTTTTTTTTATAACAATTATTGATATGTAATATGACAAAGTGATCAAATTATTGAGGAATAGGATGGAGTACATCATTTTGCATGACTTTTGTTGGTTTTATGGCAAATGTCTATTAATTGATCTTCTACTGTCAAGGTAGTGCTCAAAACATATCTTAAAGTCAAGGTAGTGCTCTTTTTGGTCATATATGTATTCTCCTCGTGAAGACAACAAGGACCAAAGTTTAATAATTAAAAATAGTAGCAATTTCAATAACAAATAGTGTTAAAATTAGAGAACCAAGTGCTTGCCTACAAGGCTCTAGTATGATAGAATAACATGGTGCTTGCACTATGTTTTGAACTAAGTGTCGTTTTTTTTAGAACTAAAGTGTCTTAGTCATGTCAAAACTTGTCGTATGTTTTAGAACTAAGTGTCTTACTCAAAAGTTTTTTAAACTTAAGGAGTCTAAATGAATATGATCTTCATATTCCGTCTCAAATCAATTCATTTTAGATCCTTAAAATTTAATGGATATTGATTGCTATGGAATGGAAGTGTACTACTTGTTTTGAGAGATGAGGGTGTAATACGTAGGTATTATATTGAGTTACTTTGATGAGATATTTTTGTGGATGTGTACAGATGATGGATAAGAGTTGGATTGATTTGCCAAATAGGATGTCGAGCGAATACATTAATGAGATTGATGAATTCCTTGTGTTTGCCTACACCAATAGGGTTGAAGGTTCGATGATCAGTTGTCCGTGTAGGAAGTGTGAGAATCGATACCATCTTGTACGAGAGAGTGTACAGGAGCATCTGATTTTGAATGGTTTTTTAAAAAAAATACAAACACTGGATTAATCATGGAGAATCTTACGTATCTCTGCATGGTAATCGAGATAATGAAACATTAGCTAATTTAGACATTGGGGATGATATGATTGGAATGATACAAGGGGCTATGGGAAATCCACATGCCGGTACAAGTGTTGAGGGTAATGAACCACAAGGGCCTGATCCCCATGCATCTGAACCTCAGCTCGGTCCAAATGCAGAGACTGCAAAGTATTTCAAACTTCTTCAAGATGCACAAACTGAATTGTATCTAGGTTGTCAAAAGTTCACATCTTTGTCATTCATTGTTCGACTTCTACATTTGAAGGTGCTTAATCAGTGGACAGACAAGTCTGTTGACATAGAATTTCTAGTATAGTAGGAAACAATCAATAAGGAAACTACATCGTGTTGGTTGAAGCATAGTAGGAAACAATCATACTTGGGTCATCGCAGATTTTTACCTACTGGCTATAAATTCCGGATGGATAAAGTATCATTTGATGGTAGTCGGGAAGTCAGACTCAAACCAAAATTGTTGTCTGGAACTGAGATGTTGCTACAATTAGAATCTGAGGGTATTTTAACCCAATACAAGAGGGATGACCTTAAGGAGAGGCATAGGAGACAGGTAGAGAATGAGAAAGCTAGACATCGCACCCATAGCTGGAAGAAAAAGAGTATCTTTTAGGAACTGCCATATTGGGAGCACAATCTAATAAGACACAACCTCGATGTGATGCATATAAAGAAGAATGCTTGTGACAATGTGTTGTGGACAATATTAGGGGTTGCAGGAAAATTGAAGGATGGTGTTAATGCTCGGCGTGATTTAGAAGATATGAATATTAGAAAACCCCTACATTTGCAGTTAAGAGGGTCGAATAAAGCCTATTTACCACCAGCACAATTCACGATGACCAAGGATGAGAAAGATTTGTTCTTGAAAGTGTTGAAGGAAGTAAGAGTTCCCGACGGGTATTCATCCAATATATCACGTCGTGTGCGCTCACATGATAGAAGTATTGAGGGTCTTAAGAGCCATGATAGTCATATTCTAATGCAACAACTTATTCCATTGGCTATTCGAAGATCGTTACCAAAGAATGTAATTGAACCCTTGATTGAATTGAGCGATTTCTTTAGACAATTGTGTTCCAAAGTGAATCGTGCGACGGATTTACAATATATTCAAGATCGTATCGCTGTAACACTTTGTCATCTAGAGAAAATATTTCCTCCGAGTTTTTTTGATATAATGGAGCACTTGCCTATACATCTAGCTGATGAAGCAGTATTGGGTGGAGTGATTCAGTTTCGATGGATGTATCCAATTGAGAGGTATCTTCTTACTTTGAAGCAATACGTGCGTAATACAGCTCATCCTGAAAGATCAATTGCTAAAGGATATCTTATGGAAGAATGCATGAATTTTTGTGCACAATATTTCAATGATGTGGAAACCAAATCCACTCGACCCGTAAGGAATTATAGTGGTGTTGATAATCTGGGTCATGCTATTGGTGAAAACACAAGCTTTTATCTTGATAATACTTCTTAGGTACAAGCTCATCGGTACATCTTATTCAATACAAGCGCGGTTCAACCATTCATAAAGTAGGTTAAGTCACTCACTCAATATTTTATTATGTTTTATTGAATTTTCAACCAAATTTTTTGTATTGATAAATTTTCAATCTACACAGCAAACACCTTGAAGTACTTAAGCTCAAAATGCCTCGTGTCGACGATCATCAGCTTCGGCGTGAACATTTTGAAAATTTTCACATTTGGTTCAAGGAACATGCATGTATTTAAGTCTATAAGTCGAACTACATTTTAATATTTTACATTTTCACTTTAAATAGGTCCAAACTTTGCGAAGGACTACTGATTTCATATTTTCTGAAGAGATTATTCTATTAGCAAATGGTTCTCATAACCTGGCAAGGAGGTTCAACGGGTATATACTGAATGGGTTTCGGTATCGAGTAAAGGCCATGGATGATCGTCGAGCCACACAAAATTGTGGTGTAGCTTTGAAGGCAGATACTATAAGTTATGCTAGTCGGAAAGACAAGAATCCTCATGTGGGGTCTATGTACTATTATGGACAATTGACAGATATTGTTGAGATTCGATATTCCAATGAGAAGAAACATGTGTTGTTTAAGTGTGATTGGCTTGACAACATTCACGGAAAGAAAGAAGATGTCTTTAATTTCACGTTGGTGAACTTCAATCATTTGTTGTACCGAGATGATCGAATTACCAATGAACCTTTCATCTTGGCGTCCCAAGCAGAGCAAGTTTGGTATGTTGCAGACCCGTTACAACTAGACTGGCAAGTGGTGGTAAAGATGTCTCAAAGAGGTTTATTTGATATGAGTTCGACTGATCCACAAATTAAGCCATATATGAGCCAACAATTGGAAGAAAATATAATGCTTCGTGATGAAGAAGTTGGTTGGGTGAGGGAAGCCGCAGAAAGGGAAACAGTTGATGTTCAAATAGATTGATATTTAATCAACATCAGTAATTCAATTAAGGCCAAGGTTGTAGTTAATCATCAGTTTCTTAATTTACTTTGTCTTTGTAATTGTATTAGTTCAATTAATGTCATATTATAGTTGATGAGAAACCATTGTCTATGTTTCTAATGTCAATTAATGTTATATTGCTTGCAGATTATTATGGAAAGGAAGAGGAAGCCTGATCATCCCCGGCCCATGATGTCTGATGTGCTACATAACAGGACATCAGTAGCACCACCATCAGAGGAGGCATCACATTGGCCACCATCGGAGCGGCCATTAGTGCCACCACTATCTGACCAGCCATCGCAGCGACCACTATTACTGGCACCACCATTAGAGGAGGCATCCCAGCGACCACCATCAGAGGGGCCATTAGTACCACCGCATCGACCACCATCAGTGGCACCATAGCAGCTACCATGTACTCAGCCTCCACGCCTACCATCGGTGCGTCCACCATCAGTGGCACCACAGCAGCTATCATCCCGACTAGAGTCATCAGCTTATGAGCCATCCGCAGGTATATAAATTTGCTTTGATTTGTATGAAAATTATTTAAACATACATTTATTTATTTTCATTATATATAACTTGTTTATTCTCATTGTATTTTGCAGACCTTTCGACTTCTTTACAGCCCACCTCAGGTATAAGAATTCGATTTGCATTCACATTATTTAAATTTGCATTTGTTTATTATCATTGCATATTGTTTATTGTTATTGTATCTCGCAGGTCATGTTAGTTCTTCATCAACCTCGACTAGGCGTGGTAGAGGATGTGCCAAGGGCATTAGGGAGTGGGGTACTGGTACAAAGCTGGACATACAACTTGATGAAAATTACTGCCCAATAGGGGATAACGTGGCTAAGTTAACTACTTAACTTGGCATTATTGTGCGGAATGGTAACATTGTTCCTCTTACTTTTCTTGACTGGAACAATGTGCCTGATGATATTGTTGATGCTATCTGGAAGGATGTGAAGGTAAAAGTATATTTTTGTCCAAAAATTCAAATTCCAAAATTGTGTTATTATTATTTAAACTTTGAAATTGTGTTTTATAGGACAATTTGAATATATGTCCAGAGGAATACAAGCCAATCTGCATGAAAAACTGCAACAGCATATGGAAAGATCACAAGAACAAGATTAAGGCTAAGTATTTCAAGCCTAGAAGTTCTGATCCTAATCTGAAGGATGATGTTCCTTTGCACATTGTGCCAAGCCAGTGGGAAGAACTTGTGGAGTATTGGCGTACTTCCGATGCTGAGGTATACAAATAAGTTATATGTATGATATGTAAACATACAAATCATATTTATATACTTACATTTGTTGAACCTGTTATAGAAAATTGAAACTAGGAACGCTAAAAATCGGAGAGCTCACGGCATAGCTCATACCACAGGGCGTACTACTTTCGCTCAGATACAAAATGAGGTTTATATTTTATTGTTTTATTTTTGTGTATAAATAAACATTGTATATTTGCAAATTATTTGGATTCTAATTTTTATATTTCTAAAAAAATGTAGATGACCAATAAGGGGGAGTCTACTGATAAGATGAATGTTTGGCTTATGACACATAGAGTAGATGACCCAGAGATTATCCAGACCTTGGTAGTTTCCAAACACCTTTGATTGTATTTAAAGTTTATTTTTTATTTTTTGTGTGTCAACCATCTTAATTTGGCATATACTTGTATGTCTTATTCAATACAGGATGAGTTTAATCGGCAACTCTCTATGCTACTTAAGGATTGTCGGACTTTGGAGGCTAGGAATGCCATTTTCCATGAGTTGAGGGAGGAGCTGCGAGCAGAGTTCTCTACACATTTACAGCAGATGAGAGCTGAGATGATGGCCTTAGTGTCATAGGGGGCGAGTGTGGATCCTAACAGACAGGTTCGATATAAATTACATTGTTTGATAGTTCAATTTTCACACAACATTATGTATAAAATTCAAATATGATTAACACATTATGCATTGACTATCATAGGTTCCTGATGCATCGAGTGGCCACCGGGCATTTAGGGAATCTACAGAAGACGAGAATCCATATACACCACCACCAGAAGATCAGGTGTAAAATGTATCTTTGCATTCTAAGCTAAAATGTATCTTTGCATTCTTTACATTCTAAGTTAAGAGACTTTTGTGGGAGAAGACGGGACTCAAATTAGGTTCCCAAATTGGGAGTTAGAGCCGGATTTAGCACGAAACTTGGCACACACGACCGCCTAGGCACGAGTGACTTGTGGGAGAAGACGGGACTCCAATCGGGTTCCCGGTTTGGGAGTTAGAGCCAGATTTCACTTTAGACAAACTAGTTCCTTAAGAAACTTGAATTCGAGGTGTTAACGCCCCAAAATCATCCAACGGCGTCGGTTTAGCACAAAACTTGGCACACACGACCGCCTAGGCACGAGAGACTTGTGAGAGAAGATGGGACTGCAATCGGGTTCCCGATTTGGGAGTTAGAGCCGGATTTCACTTTAGGCAAACTAGTTCCTTAAAAAACTTGAATTCGAGGTGTTAACGCCCCAAAATCACCAAATGGCGTCGGTTTAGCATGAAACTTGGCACACACGACCGCCTAGGCATGAGAGACTTGTGGGAGAAGATGGGGCTCGAATCGGCTTCCCAATTTAGGAGTTAGAGTCGGATTTCGGTCTAGGCAAACTAGTTCCTTAAGAAACTTGAATTCGAGGTGTTGACGCCCCAAAATCACCAAACGGCGTCGGTTTAGTACGAAACTTGGCACACACGACCACCAAGGCACGAGAGAGTTTTGTGGGAGAAGACGGGGCTCGAATCGGGTTCTCAGTTTGGGAGTTAGAGCCGAATTTCGGTCTAGGCAAGCTAGTTCCTTAAAAAACTTGAATTCGAGGTGTTGACCCCCCAAAATCACCAAACGACGTCGGTTTAGCACGAAACTTGGCACGCACGACCGCTTAGGCACGAGAGACTTGTGGGAGAAGACGGGACTCCAATCGGGTTTCCGGTTTGAGAGTTAGGGCCGGATTTCTGTCTAGCCAAAATTATTTACTAAACTATCTTTGTAATTATACAGTAGTTAATTTTTTATGTTTTTCTGTAATTAAAATATTAACACCATTATATTGTCATTAATTATTTTTATTTTGTTATTTTTAGATATTTTCTGAATAGCAGTTTGCTTCTTGTGGAATGCGGGCGTGTAAAGATTATGACCAACTTTTGTTTTTGTAACCCACAGAAGAATCAAGACGAAAACTTTTGGTTTTGATTTACGTTATTTAGATTTGTGAACAACAATATGTATGTATTATGCGACAGTATATAGTGGGATAATTTTTATTGTTATGAATTTTTATTTATGTATTGTTATGAATGGAACAACATTATGAATTTTCATTATGTGCCAACTTTTGTTTATGTATGTATTTATATTATTATGCAATTATCGGTTTTTTTTAAAGTTATTTTTCATTTAATACAAGTTATTTTCATATTTTTAATAATTTTAATACAGTTTTTTTTTTTTTTGAGACGGCAGCACACACCGTTTCAAAAAAAAAATTGAACCAGGGTTTTTTGCAACGGCCCTTTACTGTCACAAAAGATAGGGAATTGGTTGAAACGTAACGCCTTTAGCAACGGTTTTATTGCCATCGCCAATAGTCCTTTAGCGACGGCTCAGGTGCTGTCTCAAATAAACCTTTAGCGACGGTATTTTGTGCCGTCGCAAAAGACCTTTTTAGTGACGGCAACACAATGCCGTCTCAAAAAAACTCAGATTTTCACGCATTATTTGCGACAGAATTTTTCCGTCGCAAAAAAGGCATTTTTCCCTCGCAAAAAAAAGGCGACGGCATTATGCCGTCGCTAAAGCCCTTTTGTAACCCCCTTTGTCGCCGCCCCCCACTTGCTGTCGCAAAAAACCACTTATCGTTGCAAAAAACCTTTTGAGACGGCGTTTCGGGTATTTGCGACGAAATTTTACCGTCGCAAAAAATCAATTTTTTTTGTAGTGTTTCAAGTAATTCGCTCAAAAAAGATATACACATTTCTTTTTTATTGCTACCTTTATCTTGGTAGTTACCATTATTCACGTTTTTCTCTTTAATTAGTTTCATTCATATTTGTGGTATTGTTTCATTGTGCTAGGGTTTCGAAACTCTCTATTTAATAAGGTTTGGAAACTTTAGTTTGTACATGGTGGTGAAATAATATTATGTTCCTCCATTGTTGAGGTGAAACTTTGTGTTCCTCCATTGTCACTTTGTGTTCAAAGTTTTGTGTTCGTCCATTGTTGCTTTCTCTTCGAAAGTCTATATTTCTCCATTGTTGTAAGTTGAAATTTTGTTTATATCCAAGTAATTTTGCTACAAACATATTCTTTAAAGGTGGGTTTGGTTTAGTTTGTTTTGAATTGGTGAAATGATGAAATTCCATAAATTGGTAATGATAGCAATAATAATAAAGATGATAATGAAGATGAGGATGTGGGTGATATTTTTTGTTTTTAGAGTGATTGATTTTTTTTTTTTTTTTTGGATTTCTAATTCTATTGATGCCATTGCTTTTATTTTTTTGTCAATCAATGTGAATGTTTACATTTCATATTGTTTGAAAGTCTTATAAATAAGTGTTGGAATATAGATATTGACATGATTATATATTTTGTAAGATGTGAATGTTCACATATTATTGGTTATTTGTTATTATACTTATTGTTCGAACAATATTTTTTTGTTACCATTAAACAATTGAAATAATCTTCTTCTTTTTTTTCCTTTCAATTTTGTTTCATGTTGCAATGTGAATGTTCACAGTAGTATGAATTTAGTTTTTTTCAGGTTAGTTGTATGTTAATTGTAAATTGTAAATATTCACATTGTATTTTGGTATGAGTTTTTTCTGAAGTTTTTTCGAAAGTTAGTTATATTTTGTTTTTTGTTTTTTTGTTTTTTTTACTTTACTTGTTAATTGAATAATCATTATTGTGACCATTGGACAATCGAAATAGTCGATTTTCATTTTTTTTAATTTTATTTTATATTTTTACGTTATAGTGCGAATGTTCACATTGGTATGAGTTTTTTTTTTTTAACTAGTTGTATATTAATTGTAAATTGTGAACATTTACATTGTATTTTAATATAAGTTTTGTTTTTTTAAAAATTAATTGTATGTTTGTTGTTTTTGTTACTATGCTTTTACTTGAACAATCATTTTTGTTATCATTAAACAATTGAAATAGTCGATTTTCACTTTTTTCAATTTTATTTTATATTTTCACGTTGCAGTGTAAATGTTTACATTGGCATGAATTATTTTTCTAAGGCAAGTTGTATGTTAATTATAAATTGTGAACATTTACACTGTATTTTGATATGAATTTTATTTTTTCAAAGGTTAGTTGTATGTTTGTTGTTTATTGTGAATATGCACATTATATTTTAGTATGTGTTTTGTTTTTTTTAAAAGTTGTATGTTTATTGTTTACTGTGAACATTCACATTACATTTTGATTTTCATTCATATTTTATTTTTTTGCATTATTTTTTAAATTTTCAAATTATAAAAAAGTTCAATGTTCATAATTTGAGATTTTCTCTATAGAATGCGGGGAGAGATTTTCTCTTTAGATTAAGGAGAATATTTTCTCCATGGAATAAAAGAAATATTTTATTTTTAGAATAAGGAAGAGATTTTCTATTTTCTCCTTGAAATAAGAGAAAGATTTTCTCTTTAGAATGAATGGGATATTTTTTTTTTTTCCATAAAATGAGAGACTATTGTTATGTATCAGTTTCAAAATAAAAACATGTACAAAAAATTAGAAAAAGATGATTTGGTCATATTACATTAAACAAGACTTAACAGAATATTTAAAAAGAATATGAGTTAGATGGAATAAAACACTTAGAAAGAGGATTTATAAAAAAATGATCCTTAAAAATACATTGAACATTGACTATTTTAGTAGGTTATTTGACTTTTTAATTATTTTAGTTTGACTAAAATAATTGCGTTTGGAAATAGGGTTGGTGTCACGCCCCACTTTTTATTACTCGAAGTATTACCAAATTCATTAGCTTAATTTAATTTCAGAGATAACATGCGGAAACAAACTCATATATTCAACTCGTAGAAGTGAATAACAATTCTCTCATTCGTATGAAAAGTGAGTACAACATGAGCATTTAAATAAATTGACTTTGGGCTTACATCATTAAAGATTCAAGAAGAATGGTATAACCCTTTTACATATATGGCATTCCGCCAACACAAAGAAGGCCCGTGGCCAATAGATAAAAAGATCCCAATCTTATAGCACATCCTGCTTAACACCTGAAAAAAGATTCAACAACCTGGGATGAACATATAGTCCAGTAGGGATCTCAACATGATCTTTAGCAATAACAACATACAGATAGCTATGATCATGACTACCCAATCTCATACTAGAATAGTAAGGTGACAGTTTATACAAATATACATATGTATGACTTTTCTCAAAAACTGCCATTTCATTCAACGCTATAAGTGGTTCATCTTTCTTTTCTTTTCATTATCCCTCATTCCCAATCTTTCATGACATTAACAACTTCTTAAGAAATAATTTCACTAAGCCCATCACTTTCTTCCGTTTTCCAAACATACAACAGACTGTGCCTTTTTCAAAGCACATTTTCAAAATACTCGGTTTCCTTCACACTTTCCAAAAGACAAAATGACATTTTGGTTTCTTTCCAATACATTCATATCTATACATGTATGCCTTTAATAAAGGGAGATAACAAATCATCAACATGTATATAGTCAACGGATGAGGCAACTCGGCCCTCCAATACAGTAACTATCTCAATACATGATACACTCAGATACACTGAGGTAACAACAACAAAATTCTGCCCTACCTGCCATAAGCATGGTAAGCTAAAGATACACCTACAACAAATCATAAGCCAAGTTCCTCAGACATAAGCTGAAAGGAAACGGCATCCAGTCCACATTCTCCAGACACAAGCTAGAAGGTAATGGTACCTCGTCCACATTTTCCAGGCGCA